ACAAGTTGATAATAAATTAGAAGATATGCTTTTAACAAAACATGTTTAATTTTCTCTGAAGTCTTAATAACATGGACACTAGTCCAAATGACTTCGGTCTTGTTTCGTAGGTGTTATTTAAATTGTTGCATAAAAAATCTGTTTTTACCATATGTAACTATGTAATTTTTAAAATTTTTTAATACATTTTGCATATTCCATTTGCATAAAAATCCGAGCTCTAGTTATGAGTATTCGAAATATAGCTCAAGAAAATAATTTATTTTTCCGCTGGCATACTTACTTATCGATAGAAGCGGACTGTTCTTTTACACTTGTGTAATGCGATCATAAATCGGCAAGTGTACATAAATCGGTAAGTGTAAAAAGTTTAAGCTAGTTATCAAGGCGAACGAATTCAAATTTTAATCAGTTACGCAGGCCCACAAAAAAATTCGATGAAAGGTTCAACAACAAAACAGGTGTTTTATTTGTCTTTGGATTCGGTGAACACGAATCTGAAGTCAGTTTTGCTCCATCACGTCAGGATTTGCTTCTAACCTCAAAAAACATAGCGAAACTCAATGCACTCCTCAAAAAAGCCTGCTGAAGTACGTTCTATAAAAGCCCTTCTGGAAGGCTTTCTATGGGTAGCGAAAAAAGAATCGCTTCAATTCATCACAGTCCATACAAAAAAGAAGGTAATGTAGAGTGAAGGCCTTTCGGGAGGGCTTTTAACTCCTGAAATTATCTACTGAGTTATAAAATGATGTATATTTAATACAGCCATGCACGACGAACATTTCGGCGAGTACGTTCACAACGCGCATTCTTATTTTTAATTTTTTTCCGCAGTCTCAAATCACGCGGATCCCGCATGTGTAATCCCTCATTTCTGTTCCAACAAAAATGGTGCGTGGTCCCGCGTTTGCGGTGCAAAGTGAAGACCAGTAAATTCGGTATTTAAGATTATACAATCGTAACCCTTGTTTAATTATCTATAAAAAAAAAAACATGATTAAAAAAATGGGCGTTTTCAAGAACTCTTTTTAAAATACCTTTTTAACGACGCATTCTTTATCTGCAATGTGAACTTGTTTGGTATTTTTGTGAAGACAATTTATCCACTAAAAAGAATTAAACAGACATTTCCCTAAAAAATTAATTATATGCCGCCAGGAAGCCACTAAAGTCGACAAATTTTATACTAAGAATTTTAATAAGAGCATAGCCATGCGTAAGCTCTTCACAGAAAAAAATTTTCAAAATAAATTCTTTGAAATAAAATGTTGGTTTGACGTTTCTTGTTTCCATATAGATAGTAGAGAATTACAGGAATTAAAATTTTGGGATAAAATTAAAAACAGGGTGTCCCTGCGGTATTCCAGGACAACAATTTTTTTGAACAAAATTTCAAACAATGCTAAATTTTAATGGAATTAATAAAAAATATATGTAAAAGTAGGTTATTTTTTATTATTTTATTAAATAGTACGGGCTTTTAGCTTTCAAAAGAAAAAAATAAAAACCTGCTCATTTTTTGTACTTTCTGAAGTAATGCGTTTTTCGCTAATGCATAAAATAATTTTTTCATTTTTTGTCAGTGCCTTGAGATCTTCACGATTCGTTCAATTTTCAAAAATGAAGTGTCAGATTAAAAAGCCTCACCTGTAGACAATAGAAGGTATATTTTCTTTTAAAGAGTTGCCACTTGTTCAAAAATTAGATTGTTAAAAAATTTGATTAAAATTTTGTATAAGTCAAATTAATTGTTAGGAGATGGGTATCGATCGAAATGTGTATTAACTACCCGTAGCGAGTTGCCACCTGTTTAAAAAATTAAATTCCACTTGAATTAAAGGAATTAAGTAATTTAAATAGATAGGTATCACCATAAGGGAGTCAAACGAAAGAGGTTTAAAAAGGTTTTAGCTTAAAAATATTACGAATGGGGTTGCAACCTGTTTGTAAAGTCGAAATTAGTTAAATTAAAATATTAATTACGTCAAACCATAGGACTACGCCATCGTATTTGTTATTTTATTACAAATACATACATTGTCAATCAGTGATTTGTTCTGATTACATTTCTTTTAAATTACTGGACTCTTAAATTAACTCAGGAATGTTTTTACTCTTCACTTATTTCTTTATAAATATGTCAAAATTTTCAATTTTTCTGATACTCATATAGTTACACATTTTCCAGTTACCTTGTTACCTTAATTAAAGTGAATTTGATTTTTTAAGAATGCGGCAACTCTTTTACGTGTCGTTTAGAAGTAAAGTATTTTCAAAACTAGTTCAATTGATACGCATATTGTAATATCTAATTCATTTGGCTTATTGAATAATTTTAATAAAATTTGTAACAGGTGGCAACCCTTTTCAAAAATAAAAATCTTTATTGCACATTCACAGGCCAAGCGCTGTCATTTGACACCTCACTTTTGAAAATAGATCGAACTATATGTACATACCTATGTAAAAGCCACAAAAACCCAAATTTTCAATTTCAAACTGCATTTACACTTAAAGTAGAAAAGCTATCCAAAAACAAATTGCATTTTTGAATTTAGCGTCCTTAATTTTAGTAAGAAGCAAATTTTTATTTAAATCCGTCCATAATTCTATTTTTGCCCACATTTTATATGGAAGGGAAGCACTGTGCGACAGGGTGGTTTATTTTGTGAGATTCAACAATTTTTCAAGGTTTTAAAAATAGGGTTTTTGCAAAAATTTAAATTTAGAATTCCTATCCAGTATCTAATAATATTTGTATGGCAAGCATTTTCTTTAAGGCGACAAACCTCTATAAATGGGCGTGGCAATTGTAGGACTAAAGTTAGCAAAATGCAGATGTTATTTCGGAATTCGGCAGAACATCCCTCCGTTAACAACATTTGTTCCGCAATATCGATTTTTTGATTGAAATGTTAATCCCGTCATTTCACTTCAAATACGTATTAGCTGATTTCATGTATAGAACCCATAAAAATTTTAAGCGAATCGGAGGCACGATATCAATATTTTTACGTAATCCGTCCGACTTAAAAAATAATGGCTTATATATAGTAGAAATAAGTAGATAAATCCGCTAGCGATAAAAAGGACAAGTTGGTATCAAGCAATCTACGTTTTGCTTTCGTACTGAATATTTAATTTTAATCACTTTCATCCTATTTTAAGCTTATTTAAAAAGTATGTAAAATTGGATTGGATGAAGTTAGGAAACTTTCTATTCTTCTTACACGAAATCATTATAATAATAATAGATTGGCGCTTACACATATGTTAATGTTTGACCGAGCTTCTCCTCCGATTTGTGGCGTGCGCCTTGATGTTGTCACACAAAGAGAAGGGACCTACAGTTTTACGCCGACTCCGAACGGCGATTGTATTTTTATGAGAAGCTGTTTTTCATGGCAGAAATACACTCGGAGGTTTGCCATTGCCTGTTGAAGGACGACCGCTATTTTTTTTCTATATTGTTTTTCGATGTTGCTTTGACCAGGGCTTGAACCCAGGCGTTTCGAAGTGGAAGCGCGCGCTGCTTCCCACTACACCATAGCGGCCGACAAAATCATTATACATATATAAACTTATTTCTTAATTTTTATGATGGAATGTGGAACGATTTTCCGTCATTCCTTGTCAAATTTGGTTTGGAGACAAACCGGTTTCGGTGTCGGTTACTCTGTCGCAAACACCAACAACGAAAATGATAATGTTAACTTTTAGTTCACATTGCAATAAAAACGTGTTTTAGTTATTTAAATATAACGGGTGATTTTTTAAGAGCTTGATACCTTTTTTTTTAAAAAAAACGCATAAAATTTGCAAAATCTCATCGGTTCTTTATTTGAAACGTTAGATTGGTCCATGACATTTACTTTTTGAAGATAATTTCATTTAAATGTTGACCGCGGCTGCGTCTTAGGTGGTCCATTCGGAAAGTCCAATTTTGGGCAACTTTTTCGAGCATTTCGGCCGGAATAGCCCGAATTTCTTCGGAAATGTTGTCTTCCAAAGCTGGAATAGTTGCTGGCTTATTTCTGTAGACTTTAGACTTGACGTAGCCCCACAAAAAATAGTCTAAAGGCGTCAAATCGCATGATCTTGGTGGCCAACTTACCGGTCCATTTCTTGAGATGAATTGTTCTCCGAAGTTTTCCCTCAAAATGGCCATAGAATCGCGAGCTGTGTAGCATGTAGCGCCATCTTGTTGAAACCACATGTCAACCAAGTTCAGTTCTTCCATTTTTGGCAACAAAAAGTTTGTTAGCATCGAACGATAGCGATCGCCATTCACCGTAACGTTGCGTCCAACAGCATCTTTGAAAAAAATACGGTCCAATGATTCCACCAGCGTACAAACCACACCAAACAGTGCATTTTTCGGGATGCATGGGCAGTTCTTGAACGGCTTCTGGTTGCTCTTCACTCCAAATGCGGCAATTTTGCTTATTTACGAAGCCATTCAACCAGAAATGAGCCTCATCGCTGAACAAAATTTGTCGATAAAAAAGCGGATTTTCTGCCAACTTTTTTTGGTAATAAAATTCAATGATTTGCAAGCGTTGCTCGTTAGTAAGTCTATTCATGATGAAATGTCAAAGCATACTGAGCATCTTTCTCTTTGACACCATGTCTGAAATCCCACGTGATCTGTCAAATACTAATGCATGAAAATCCTAACCTCAAAAAAATCACCCGTTAGTTCTATTATATTATGCTTACGCATGTACATATTGTCACCTGAAATGCAAAAGGACGTAACCATAGTCACAAACAAACATCATCGTTGAAATGCAAAAGGTGATAACTACTTTTTGATTTATATTATGGATTTCGTCGAATTACAACTCCCCACATCATTTTATGAAAAAAAAAATTCAAATATTAGTCACGACTTTTTCCATTTAATTTGCGATGTTGTTGCGTCTCTTTGCATTTCAGGTGACGATATGTATTTGATCTTAAGACGAAAAGGAAATAATTACATGTTGTTCATTATAAAGGTGGCTCCGTACTTAACTTCTTATGTAAGGCTGTTCCACACACCAATTCAGACCTGAGCAAATGGAAACTCTTCTTCTGTGATGAACGATACGTTGACGAAACCGATCCGGAATCTACGTACGGTGCTTACAAATCCAAACTGGTGCCGCAAACCAATTTACAATTACAACAATTTGTACCCATTAACATTGGTTTACCACTAGATGAGTGTGCCGCTGAATATGAGCGCAAGCTAAGGAAAGAGTTTGGGCGAAGCACTGATGGCATTCCTGAATTCGATTTATTGCTCCTGGGTATGGGACCTGATGGACACACCTGCTCTCTATTTCCAAATCATGCATTGCTTAAAGAGAAGACACTTCTAATCGCACCTATCGCAGATTCACCTAAGCCGCCGCCGCAGCGGGTTACCATGACCTTTCCACTTATCAACAATGCCAAGTGCTGTATTTTTGCAATGTGTGGCTCAGGGAAAGCAGAAATGGTTAAAGTGAGTATAGATTGCAGATTAAACTACATGTATTAAAATTATTTTGAACGATGTACATACATACTTTTCTTACCGTAGAGAGTTTTCGAGGACAAAGAGGACCTACCAGCTGGCAGAGTTTTGCCAAAGAATGGTGAATTGATTGTTATCCTCGATGCCGAAGCCGGGAAATATGTTCAATAGCTTTAATAGCTAAACTGCAATCTGTATACAATACATACACTTTATCAAGAAAGTGTTTTCACTTAGTAAAATATTCAGATTAGAAAGCCGTTCAAAGCTATGTATATTATTAACTTATGTATTTACCATGTTGTTATAACAGTAATCACTGAATTTCCACCGAAGCAAGTACATAAGTTAATGATATGAAAATCGTTGGTGTTCGTTAAATAAAGAGGAAAAATCAGGATATCTTACTATGGGAAAACACCCTTTTGAGAAACTACATAATATGTATATGTGCATAGTATATATAGGAGTACATATTCTTGAATGAACGAACCTATTTCCCATTACACGTATACGAAGAAGTTTATTAAATAGGTTGTGCCTTGCATTTAATAAATATTGTAGTATATCTTCAATAAAATACTCGTACAATAGTAAACGTAACTACTTGTGCAACATGTTTATTTAAAGCTTATACTGGCGATTTTCCATAGATTCAAGTACATGCATATGCACATAGTTTAGTATTATATTTATACAATAAGTGTACTCGTTTCTGCTTAATCTATAATACAAATGTATATCAATTTTGGCAAGCATTAAACAGTATTTTCTGCCTAATGAATCACATATCTGTTCAACTGAGAAAATTCTTCTTGACCTTGGCCCAGCAACCCGTGCCCATCGAATTACTCTCATTCGCGAGATTCTTATTGTATTGTTCACGAAGCAGGGGATCCGACGGGCCCCAATTACGTACAGGTCGGAAGGCACCACGAACTTTCTCATTTACACTTTCGCCAGGTTGGCGCACGATCGCCACTATGGCCCATAATGGAACTTGTATTACACCCAGGGCAGTAATTGTCCAGCCAAGCGCTAAGGAAATAAATTTATGAAATATTTTGTTTTAGATTAAAGTGCACTTTAAAGCCTGATTAGGGCAACTTAACTTAACTTAACGGAACGTAAAACTTAGAGAATCAAAATGAAGCAGATTTCGACGTGGCCTTAAGTTATGTTAAGTTTCGGCTGTTCAATTTTAAGCAACATCCATTTAACAGAATTTTTAAGTGAGAGCCGTAAGTTATGTTAAGTTGCCATAATCAGACCATAAGTAAATTCGCTTACCATAAGCCCAATTCGGATATTCAACATTGTTGTAGGTGAGTGATTGGTATGTAGCAAAGAAGTAAATCAGAATCAACGTCATTATTCCGGGTGTGATGAACGCCCAACATAAACGCCAGTATCGACTCACTTTGTGGCCAATCATAAATTCTATATCCTTACAAAGTCGATCCACTCCATAAATCCAACCCAGAACATAGAGCTCCAATATGCCCAGTATTAATGCAATCATTGAAGCGCCGTAAAAATCGACTAAAGTCAAAATAAATTGACCTCCCTGGAAAGGAATAAGTATGTACTTATGTATGTATGTATGTACACTGCTGCTCAGCCGAATAAGTTCAAAACTAGTGATAAATCCCGAAAATCAAGTGCGCCTTATGCCGGTTCCTCATTTGATTAAGAATGAATAATATTCTGATATTACAATAAGGAATAGCGCTACTTAAGTTTTTTTTTTTAGGTAATAAGTGCCCTCATTCGAGTCTCTGTATTTTTTATATGTATATGTAAATGAGTCCAACTTCGATAAGTGCAAGAAACTTTATGAACTATTTATTCCAAAAAATAAGTTTGCATTGGACGTCAAAATGTGGAGAAGACGAGCGAATGGTAAAATTTTCAAAAACTTGTTTGCTTCACTTGACGAAAGCGTAATTTCGATATTCAATTGCAATATACAAGTATTTGTAAGATATTTCTTATTTATCTGATTTTATCTTTTAATGGTCAATTAAAATGCTTTCGAATACGTGACCGATATTGAGTATTTTGGCTGTTTTACCAGTTTCGACAGCAAAGCAAGAAAGTCCATTTTCAACACTCAAACGGATCACATCATACTTGGCTAGAACGTTTGAATGGACTTGCATCGTTGCGACTTCATTTGATATACAACTTTCTGTAAATTAAACAATGAAAGAGTTTCTAAAATGAAACCTGGAAGATTGTAGAGAAATAGCTTATGAAAATATTTGTTTCTAAATCCTGTATGTGCTTGTGGTTTGATTAGGTATATTTTTATATACAATGCGTACGTTGGGTATTTTGAAAAGTAATATCACAAAAAAATAATACCGCCGTCTCTAGCGGGGAGGGAGTCGGAAACCCTCGCCCCCGTAAATCCGCCACTCTTATATGGCATGATTCGCTGCAACTTCTGGGCCTGGTGCATCTACTAGAATATCCGGAAGATGTTTTAGTAAATTCGCCGTTAAAGCCCGTTCAATTCATAACATAACCCAAAATAATAACATTAGGCTATTATTAGTTGTTTTTAGCGTTGTAAATTGAGAACGTAAAATTATACAATGTATTCGGCTTTCAAATACATTATTTTTTACCGATGCGCGGAGAAAAGTAGCGAGAACATCCATATTAACTTGGATGTAAAACAAAACGAGCAAGCATAATGGCGGTAAAATATGAAAAGTAAGTACCAGGGATGTTGCGCATATTTGCACTCGCATTCGTTGTACGAATGATTCTCATCATTCTACACATTCGCATTCGACATTCGCATTCGCATCAAATGATATGAATGTTTTGCGAATGCGAATGTGTACATGGGCAGAGATTTCACTATAATATTGTTGAAATCACTCAAAGTCTGTTTAACCAGGGTGCGAACAATAGCCGGCGTTTAGCTTCGGGCACTAAACGGTTAAATAGTATATCAAGCAACATTGATGGGCCTTCAACAAGTACTGCTAAAAGTCGAGGCCTCGGATGTATAATCCGGAGACATTAAAAAATGTGAAATTAAAGCTCAATTGAAAGCCTGTCTTAAAAAAAACCGAGCTCATCTCTGTGAAAATCATATCGAATGGTGGAAAACTAAACTAAAATACGATAAATTGACAGATCTGGCCCGCAGATATTTGAGCCGTCCACCCGCCAGCGTTCCAAGTGAGCAATTGTTCAGTGCAGCCGGCCTTATATACGAGCCTATAAGAAATCGCCTCATGGGCGAAAAGGCAGAAAATTACTTTTTTTAATATTATATGAACTTTGACTACTAGATTAAAACACTGTACATGCAGGTTAAGCATGCGTTCAATGTTCTTGTACATAATTTACAAAATTTTTAATTAATAAAAACGATGACTTAAGTTGATTATAGCTTTTTTAATGTTATTCCTAATATTCGCATTCGCATTCGCACTCGCGAATGTGAAAAATATGACATTCGAAACATCCCTGGTAAGTACATGTCGATGGCTGAGTGGAAGATCGATCTATATCGGTAGCCAGTTCAAAAACGCCCTATCACAGAAAATTTTTCAAGAACGCCCTACTTCAGAATTTGACTGAAAACGCCCTATCCCAGAATTTCGTTGAGAACGCCCTATCTCAGCTTATTCAATATGCAAAGTCTGTGATTTTGTAGGACGTTGTAACTAGTATTTGTTTATTTAGAAATGTCATCAAAGTATCAGTTAGCTTAGAGATGCGCAGTTTGCTAGTTCGATAACTTTTACGATACATTTTGGGACATGCCACATCGTCAAAAATTACACATTTGCATTGAGGAATGTATGACTTGTATAGTTGCTTTGCAACTCACGTTTTGGAGCTCAGCCGTATTTGCAACAAAAAGAATTTTTTTCGATAATTTGTCGCTTAAGATAAAATCGCAATTAGGGGTCGATATGTATCTGTATCCTCAAATTCTTTTAAAATTCGTTTTCGAGAGGAATTTTAGTCAATGAAGTAATATGGGTACGCTGCTTAGTAATAAAAAAACGCACTGAACCGCATTTGTTTACGTTTTAGATTTATCTTTAACCAAAAGTTAATTGCACTGAACTTATTCTGCTGTACGGTTAAGTTATAATTTTTCGTCAATAATTTTGAAAAAAGTCAAAATATTACTAAAGGTAGTGCTAATGTAGTTGTTTTTGGCGTTGTTTGTTAGTGAGGGGCTTTAACATTGAATTTACGAAAAGAACATGCGAACCATCTAGTAGATGCTCATTTCAAGAGAGTTATAATTTATGATCATGTTGAACCTATTCTGCGAATGGCAGTATGTGTTATACTTTTTTCCTAAAGGCATCTAGACACGATCAAGTCGGTTTTCTTCAAATGTTTTTGTGTGACATATTTGCTTTGGCAGCTAAGGCGGATTTTACGAAATTGCATTAAGAATGTTGTTGTTGTAAAAGCCACATAGATCGCTTTAGTTTCAGCGTCAACCGAAACGTCGGCCACTTCATGGCGTCATGCGGAAACATTGCTAACATTTTTAAAACTAAATTCACTACAATTTTCAAGAGTAAAGAAGCTGTGCAAAAGTGTTCCCATGCGGCCTTAAATGTATTAATGGACCAAACCATGAAATGTAGAGTTAAGTTGTCCACGAGGAGTGTCCTCAAACAAGAAACCGATACCTAAAAATTTTTATTTTTTTAAGTTTTCTTTAAACAAGGTGTTGACATACCTATTTACATGGACATTTCACTAGTACATTGAAAAATATTGGAAACAATTTGAGCCGATGTAATCATGTCTTTTTGCCTTAAAAACCATTTTTATTTCGTTTTCTTACCGGTGTGACGTAGGCCAATCCAATAAAGAAACTTATTATAGATATAGCCAAAGCACAGTGCCACTGCTTAATATGTGGAAAACTGTCGCGTATCGCTGTAACTGTGCACGACGTCATTGCAATATTTGAGCCAATGCCAAGGATAAAAAGCATAAGGAAGAACAAGACCGAAAATATTTGTGGCAAAGTTTTGAACTTGGAAATCGCATCTGGATATGAAATGAACGCCAAGCCTGTGCCACCCTTCACCACGGTGCCGATGTCATCAGTACCGATTTCGTAAGCCAAATTACCCAGAATGCCAAATATGGTGAAACCCGAAATTAGCGAAGTGAAAGTGTCCAGAGTGGTCACAATCATTGCGTCCCGGTGAATGTTGTGTTCGAACTTATTGTACGATGCGTACATGATTATGTTGCCGAAGCAGACCGAGAGTGAGTAGAAGCATTGTGTGACTGCCGCGTACCACACCTGAAACCATAATGTTCTATTATTTATTGCCCATACACATTAAGTGGAGGAAAATATCGTTACCTTAATTCACAAAGGCCCTAACCAACAAATTTTCGAAATTGTGTTTTCCAAATATTTTGGTAAGATACGACAACGCCCACCAGACAATTTTTATTGCCGGAAATAAGAAAACTTGTCGCCTTCAGCAACAAATTTATTGCCGGCAATCGGCCGGTATCGATTTCTTATTACCAGTCGCTCTAAAACGTCCGCCGCAGGCAACTCGCCTGGGCGAGTCGTTTTCTTATTACCGAAATGAGTCGTTTTATTATTGCTACAGGCGATATTTGAATAATAATTTCTTGCAACAATTTTATTCTTTTTTAATATTTCATTTGTTTTTGAAAACAAACTTATAATTTGTTAACGAAATTAACTACTTTTGTTGCTATGGAGTATGTTACCGCATAAGTTGCGGCATAACTCACAGGTGGTCCCTGTGGTGGTAATTTGGTTTAGATCCGATCATTAGATCATGAAGAAATTATCGATAATGTAAAATTTTTATATGAGAATTGAAGTCGATTGTGTTCTTTTCTTAAAAATGACTTGTTAATTTTCTTTTTATAATGTTTTTTGTTGCAAAGAGAAAATTGTTGGTTATTTGTGAATTAAGGTAACTGTATGTATGTATATACATACATACATATACATACATACATTTGTACGTATGTACAAGTCAATAAACAATACAATTTGAGTAAAAACAGTACACTTACCTTAGGATCCAGTATTTTTCCCCAATTGGGTTTAATGAAATAGATTATACCATCTACGGAACCGGGTAATGTTACGGCCCGTACTAACAAAACTGCCATTATCAAATAAGGAAAGAGCGCCAAAAAGTATGAAGCTTTGCCGGAACTTTTTACGCCCCTTCTAATGACCATAAATATAGTTGTCCAAGATACCAAGAGACCCAACACTAGTTCCCAGTTCGGCAAACCGATCCCGTCATCGATGTTTATTTTCTCCCTCAACACATTTTTGCTGTGAAAGTTCAATCAGAATTAACTTAAACAAATAAAATTGGCCATTATTACATCCCACAACCTTTAAAGCAAATACACTTAGCAGAGGCAATAACGTAAAACTTACACAAAATATAATTGCGAACTCGAAATAACTCGGTCCTCATTTTGCTTTGTTAGATTACCGTAAACCAAGCTCCAGTTTCCACCGGACACCTTAAGCGCTTTAGAATCTAGGAACTTGTCATCTCCAAGCCAACTACGTGGCGCTGAATCAATACAATTCGCTCCCCACTCCGATCGACAGTAGGACCAGGGCAGCGGATCACGGAATGATTGCACCAAGTAGTATGCGATTAGCGCACAAATACACTCGTAATAAGTAGCCAGTAAATATACCATGAAAGCTTGACCTAAACCAATACCTTAAAATTTTGGAAGATGCAGATGAAATGTAAAAAAGCATTATGTGTAGCAGTTGTATGTATGTATATATGTTTACCTATGCACATTAAAGTGGTCCAAAAATGTATGTATGTATGTAAAAAAATAAGGTCGGATTTTTAATGCCGGCGCCCCCTAGGATTGTTCTATATCGAAAAAAATATACCCCTATATTATTTTATATTTTAGAGCTCTAATTTTCCATCCTTTAAGCTGATGTATTATATTTTTCAACTTATCTTATCAACTAATAAAAACAAATACAAAATAAATATTCTTGAAAATTTCTTATTAATCTAAATTTAAATGCTTGTGCGCCAAATACTATTTTCCCAATTGTCACTTATACAACACCAATGCAAAGGAAACATACTAGGGGTATTCTCCAAATCTTGCAAAGCCATTGCACGTAGCACGGTTTGCATGGATTGCACAACTTGCAAACACACAAGAACAAAATATATGGGAAACAAAATTTCCTATCGCTGCAAAATATGCAACGTCGACACCCATGTATTTATTTTGCAAAATAGCATAGCAAAATAAATGCGACCCTGTGCTAGTTGTTTTGTTGTTGGAATTGCTACATATTTCTCTCATTCCTCTCATCTCGCTCACTTCATTTTTTTTGCTGTCTCTTGTTATTGTATTTGATACATAATTTCGCTGCTTGCTACCCATGCATGCTACCACTTTGCAATGGGGTGCTCTCGTACTCTTCGAAATTTGGAATAGTATTTTTGCATTTCGTGCAATCCATGCATCGTGCAAGACTTCGAGAATACCCCTACTATGTCTATTCCAGAGATGGTCAGGGGCCGGGGCTTAAGGCAAGCGGCACCAGTGTTGCCATTTTGGTGCCTCTGGAGCTAGATTTAGCTCTTTATTTTTCTATTAAGCTCCGAAAATCCTAGCTCTTTTCAAATTTATGTAGCACTTTTTTAGCTCCAGAAAGTTTTAGTTGTATTTGGTATAATAAGCCAAAACTTAAGCGTTGATAAAATGGAAAATTTCGAGATGCAGTGTATCCACCATAAACACTGGATCTAGGTAAAAGAATTCAAAAATTAATTTAAAAAAAATTCTTTTATGACAGCGCGGATTTTGTTTTACCTTACTAATTTTACCTTTAAGGAGAGCTGGAAGTAAAACTTTCCAGAAAAATTTTGCGAAAAAATTATTCAATCCAAATATCTGAAATCAAAGACTTTAACAGTTTGTAAAGTATTTTTAGTTCACTGTTATAATTTCCATAGCAACGAATTTGAAATATATGCACCTTATTTTTTTTGTTAAGATTTTTTAACACTTAAACTTATAAAATTCGTTGTTTTTATTAAAATTTCCGAAAATGTAAAAACAACCTTACGTCAATAAATGCTCAACCTTAACAAAAATATTTAGCTCTTCATTTTAGCTACTATTAGTATTATTTAGCTCTTTTTTCGACCGTTTTAGCTCCAAACGAAATTTTTCTCTGGCAACACTGCACGGCTCACAGTGGGCCGCCTCATGCAAGTTAGCCGGAAAAAAATATTTTATTGCTTCAGATGCCTAGATTTGTCGTAATAAGTTGCATATACAAAAATGTACCTTGATCAAGGATAGATTAGATGACACCACAGGTCCTTTCAGGAGGGTGTGTAGCAAAAGTGGTATATTGAAGGTATCTACATATATATAAATACGCCACAATACAATTTTGAACCCCCTTTTTTGAGGGCACCGTTCTCTTGAAGGGATATAACTTCCTCTAATCCAGAAATGTTAACCCCACTATACAGGGGGCGTGGCATCTGACATAGACTAAAATGTGAAAACTGATCTATCTCTTAAACCAATCACGCTGATACTTGGCACGGATGCATAAATTGTAATTACCCTACTTACAGCGAAAGATGATAGGTATTGCAAAAGGTTGGCGTGGCACCTCCCATACAAACTGAAATTGTCAATCGCTTATCTCTGGAACCGCTTTTGCTAACATCCTGAATTTTGAAACAGCTACATATGTTAACAATACCGTCCTTATGGCGAAAAGTGGTAGGTTTTGGAAAAGTGGGCGTGGCATCTTCCATACAAACCAAATTTCAAATATCGCTTATCTATGGAACCGCTTTTGCTAACGTACTTATGGCGAAAAGTGGTTTGTATTGGAAAGGGGGATGGGGCACCTCCCATACAAAATACATATTCCATATCGCTTATCTCTGAAACTACTTATGATAAGGTTATGGATACACCTACATCTACAAATCAGAAAATGGCAAGAATAATTCAATTGGGAAGAATTTTCTCCCAGATTTCAAAATCGCATTGAATGATTGTTATTTTATGGAAAGGTTTTTAAAAGGATTTTTCTTCCGATAGGGGGCTCAGGGATTGAGAGCTATCCTATATAATCCTATTTATGGTCACATATGCTTCATCTTTTGAATACTTGGTACCCAAACGTGTGATGCAAAAATATCTCAAGAAATATCGATATTACCGATTTTGTGCTCCAAAACTTTTTTGTAGGAAATTGCAAGTCCTACAAGTTTGTTATTTATATTTTTTCTGTAGCTCTTGTTATTTTCGAGATAGGGGCAAAAAACGAGAATTTCATGAAAACATTGGGTCTAGTGACCGGTACTACCTCGCCGGGGGAAGTTAGGATTACACCGCAATGGACATTTTTGTAGAGCATTTAATTCTGAAGAAAACCCATCACTTACCAAGAGTATACCATAAAAGGCCTCTGAGCTGTAGACTTTTTAAGAAAACAACTCAAAGTTTACGAGTATTTTATATGAGAAATCTTTGCACGCCTTGTGCGAGTACTTATTGCTAATAAAAAGGGTTCAAATTTTCAGGGAGCTTTTTTTGGTGTTTTCTACAATATTTCGAGGTAGGAGTGAAAAAAACAATTGTCGCAAACAAAAACGTCGCCCTAGTATACAGTATGGGTCAATACATTAGGACCCCCATTTCAAAGTGATATTGTTTGCCACTCAAGTTTATTTACTTATTTTTAGAAATTTTCACTACAAAAAAAAACAGTTCATTCCCTAACAAAACCCTTTATAAACCCAAGTTTAAAACTGTGTAAAAAAAAAACTATACAAAAATTCAACAAATTTTCACCCAAATTTCAAACTTTTTTCTCGGAAGTGTTTTAATTTTTTTCGTATCATTAAATTTTAGTCTAATAATGTGCAAGTTTCAATTGTTTCAAATGACACCCAGATGACCTTGAAGAATCGAGGAACACCCATACTCGGATTTAGCGACAAATTTTTATTCTTATTTTTATTGAATAAATTTTTTTTTCCTATTTGCCCCTCAAATGACCTCGAACCTGAGTTTAACGGACCTCAGATTGGAATTCAACGAGTCTTAAACCTCACTTGTACGAATTTTCAGGTTTATTTAATGAATTTTTCACTAACTGACCTTCAAATTATCTCGAACTTGACGTGATGGAGGTTAACAGACCTCGGATTCGCCTTCAGAGCGTCGAAAAACATAGGGGTATAGAGGTTTGGTTCAATATACCGAACCTTTTTTTTTGTAAACCTGTGCTATCGTTGATTTTTAGAATTTTTTCACCGAAAGTGTTGCGGGTTTCTTCCATATAAAAATAAATTTAAAAAAATCAATGGTATTTGCTAGCCACTTGAAACTGAGAAAAAAATTTGAAATATGGGTGAACATTTTTTTATTTTATTTTTTTAATTTTCTGCGAAGTCTTATTTTTGGGCTTAACTATTTTTTTTAGAGCATGGACTGTATTTTAATTTAAAATTAAAAAAAAAATTATAACTAAACATAAGTGACAAACAATATCACTTTGAAATGGGGTTGCTATAGATATGACCGATTCTAGATAAGAAAAGAATTGTTAATTACCCGTTGAATATGAAAAAAAATATATATCAGATCTATCCGGGAATACAATAAATTTGTAAGAGCACGATTGGAATTAGTTATATTATAATTGAGCGCTTTACTTTGAAAGTGGCATAAGTCACTTCATAACTCTTTTACTTAAATTACCGGTTACTTGTATCTGCACGCGTCGGTTATTCGTTTAACTTCATCAACCAAAGAGGTTTTGTCATTGGTTTAAGACGATAGAAAGATTTACAGATGCATTCGGTTACAAGTAGCCGGTTATTTAAGCACAAGAGGTATGAAGTGACTTATGCCACTTTCAAAATAAACGACTCAATTAAAAATCGACAAAGTTTTGTATATTAAAAGAGCATACCAGTAAGATAACAATAATGATGATGATGTTCTGGTAACATGCGATTCTATAACAAATAAAAATATTATGGAAAATGGTTTGGGTTAACAATGGTTGCACTTCAAAATTAGATAAATTAAATTTTGTTTACAAGCTACTTTGAACACTTTCAATGGGAAATTTACACTAAATACAGCCCTGCAGATGAGCAATTGATGAATGTGTAGTGCAAACTTATTCATACCCGTACATATATGTACATACATAAATATGTATGTCTTCAAACACATGCATAAATCATTTGAAATGGAATTAATTGAAATTCTCAGTGTCTTATTGTCTTC